CCTCTGCAAGCCGATGGCCCGGGTCCCGAGCGCGGGCTAGCGTGCCTGGGTTCCCGGCCATGGGCTGTATCGGCTCTCGGAGCCCGGCGGGTCAGGGTAAGAAGCAGAGGCCGGGCACGGGTTGGGGAGTCGGGCTGCGGGTGCGCGGGCCGTGGATGGGTCGGGGCCTTGAGGAAGGGGCCTGTGTCGGGAGAGGGAGGAGCCTGCACCGGGGAGGCGGGCCAGGCTAGAGGAGGGAGCGGACTGGAGCGGGGAGAGGGCTAAACGGACCTGGGTTCGGTCCCATGGCCTGCCTGCTTCAGGGCTCTGCAGGGTAGACTCGTGTCTTTCCGCCTGGATTCCCACTGCTGAGGGTGGCGGGAGGCGCATGGCCAGGGGAGGGGCTAGTCAGCCCTCTCCATCCCTTGGCGACTGGCCTTGTCCGCCCACATACACTCCCACCCCGCACCCCTTTCCTATTCCTCTCTTCTCGCTGTCCTGGGACTGGCCCTATCCTGGGAACCTGCCTCTCCCATCTGTGCCTCAACCCCCTTAGGCCTGCAAACGCTGGCCACGTACCCTACCAGGGAGTTTTTAATTAAACCTTACTCCCCACTTCAGAGTCAGAAGGTTGATGAACAGGACTGAGGCCCCACTTGGGGCACCTGTGAGCACCTGATCACCTCTCACCTCTTACAACTCTTTTAGTTTCCTTCCCCCACTCTCAACAACAACAAAAAATCACCCTACCCTGTGGAGGGAAACGAGCCCAGAGGGAGGCCATCAGGTCTTTCTTCCCACAATTGCTGACTCTTGCTTGGGCCTTGGTTCCCATGGATGGTGCATGCTGGGGCCTGGTCTTAGTCCTGTGCATCTGAGGTTGGCCAGCCTACTTTACTCCAGTGTCATGGATTTCTCCAAGCCTAAGGCCAGGTAGGAACTTATGACATTGAAGGCTAGGTTTCAAATGGGTCCTGGGCTTTTCAGGGCAGCTGGTCAGTCACACAGGCCTTAGCGTGGTTGGTACTTGAGGTTCTTTAGATCTAAGACTCTGAGATTTGTACTTTCCTTGGGTTCCCATGAGGAATTCTGGGATTTGTAGTCCTAAATTAACCTCACGGCTTATGAAGCTGAGAAGCAGCAGGCTGCTCTGATCCCTCTGGCCCTGTAAGGCTTGGCGTTCAAGAAGTCATTCCCTCCTGTGGTCAAGGCAGAGTTTGGCTGACCTCAGGATTGGCATCAAGAGCCCTGATTAGGTACCAGTTAGGGCCAGGATGGCCTGTAACCTTGTGTCTTCCTTCTGGTTGGTAGCATTTCTAGGGACCACCAGCTGGCTGAGGCTCAGGGACAGAGACGGCTGCTCCAGCTAAAGGTCAGTTGTGATATACATTGCCTGTTGGCACTGTCTAGGGGACAGGCCTCAGCTAGCTGAGCTCCACAGAGCTTGGCTGGGCCCCTGTCACTCCCACCTCCTCATAGCCATGAGGCAGGAACACTTTCCTTATGTGACTAGGAACAGGTTCCAAGTGGGGAGGGGACTGGCTCAGCATCCGGAACCAAAATAGGAATAGAACTGGGAGCTGAGCCTGGAGCGGTTCTGGGCTTTTGGTTCTCTGCATCAACACAGCCAGCATGCCTATGATTTCTGTGCTGGGCAAAATGTTTCTGTGGCAGCGTGAAGGGCCTGGAGGACGATGGACTTGTCAGACAAGTCGCAGAGGTGAGAGCAGGGACCGTAGATGTGATCTGGGAGGTGATGGGAACCTGAGGAGTAGGGTTCTCAGGTGGCAAGAGGAAAATTACTTTGGCTTAGATATTGGGCATGAGGCTGAAACAGGAACAACCAGGCTGGGGCCAGACAGGCCATTAGGAAACCACCTTAGGGGACTGGAGCAAAAGTCAGAAAAAAATCATGGGTTTGTCAGAGAAGAAGAGTAAAGAGCTGCGTATCGACTAAGTCTGGTGAGAGGAAAGAACCAAGAGAAATAAGCAAAGCAGCAAGCTTTCAAAGGACCGAGGATGGTGGCGGGGAGGTGGATGGTGGTGGCGGTGGAATAATGAGGTGTACTTTCCAAGAGGAATGGGTAGGCTGAGAAACCAGAGAAGATTCGGAATTTATCAAAGTTTAGATTTCATCCCAAGGGTTTTGGTGTCAAAATATGTCCAGTGGAGGAAGGTGGTCAGTGGCTGCCACAAAATGGCCCCAGGGACCTAAAGGTTAGGGGTAGTGGGATAGGGGCTTTCAGAGCTGTGGAGAGCACCAGGTGGTTGCTCAGATTCTGGGAGGTGGGGGAGGGGTGAGGAGGAATGATACGGCAACACGGGATGAAAATAAGGGGGATCTTGGCAGAAGTGGGAGCCCAGCTGAACAGCTTTTCCCCTACTCCTCAGTGGCCTCGGACCCCGCGTGGGCTGTGGAGTGGATCGAACTTCCTCGGGGCCTCTCTTTATCTTCCTTGGGATCTGCTCGCACCCTCCGAGGCTGGAGCCGGTCCTCTCGCCCTTCTTCCGTGGACAGCCAGGACTTGCCAGAGGTGCTGGGCCCCTGGTGTTGGTAGGGGGAAGGGGGACCGCTTCTACATGAAGGGGATCTGTATTCCCCACCCCCGCCTTCCCAGCCTGTTTCTGGCTCCCTTTGCCTGTGAGCGGAGGCGCTATCCGGCCGGCAGTAAGGCCGCCCCCGCCGGTCTGCTCTGCTAGGCACTGTGCCAGCTCTGGGCGGGCTGCTCGCGCCTTTGGCGCTGACGTCAGTGCATCCCGGGCCATATCCCCGGAGACCCTGTTGCATGGTGATGGGTTGCCAGGGAGACATACACCTTTTCTCTGGGCCTGGGCCGCAGCTGCGCGGAGGGCTGGCACGGATGGGGCGGCTGTGGGGAGTGAGGGAAGGGACGGAGAGCGAGCCAGGAAATACCCAGCAGGTGCTCCTCCCTCCAGCCCTGGCCAGAGGCTACCGGCGCCACACTGGGGGCCCTGTCAGCCAGGTACTGAAGGGGGGGGACAGAGGGGGTGGGCCTGAGGTCAAGGGGCAGGTGGAGCCCCACTTGTGAGGAGTGGGAACTGATGGAGTAGAGCTAGGCAATGCCGGGGAGCGGGCCTGTACCTCTGACTTCATTCATTCATTGAAGGAAACATTTGCCTGGGCTTGTCAAAGAGCACAGAACCAGGTGTAAGGTGGAGGTAGGAACGCAGGTGAATAAAACTCAGGCCCTGCCATCCTGAAATCCCTCAGGAGAGATGCAAGGGTAATGCTGGGGATGGGAAAACTGTGGACTGAAAACCCAATAGGAGGTGTCACTTGAGTGAGGCCTTAAATGGTAAGGAGCATTTTGTCAGGCAAAGATAGCATTCTTATCCCAGGGAAAAGCTGGGTTTTTTTGCCTGGAAAGCAGGGCTGCCTGCTGACAGTGAAAGTGGAGAAGTACGGTTTTACTAGGCAGAGGAGATCAGTGGTGGATCCCAGGCAGGCCTGGAAGGAGGCAGGGCCTCACAGAGTCCTTCATTGCCTGGCTGTGAGCTTACACTTCATTGGACATTGAAGGAGCCCAGAAAAGATTTTAAATAAGGACATGTTTTGACCAGTTGCACCCCAAGAAAATTGTTTACATTTATACCTTGTCTTGTTCATTCTATATATTTTGAGAGATTGCTCTGTACCAGGCACTGCTAAACACTGGGGTGCAGCAGTGACCAAAAGAGACCGAATTTCTGAAAAAGCTTAAGACCAGTGAGGGAGACCAACAAGAAATAAGGAAACACATAAAATAGACCATAATTACACACATGGGATACATTGATAGAGGATGGTGACTTGTTAGAGACTACAGAGGGAGGGTGTACAACTGGTATGGTGGCCAGGAAGGCTTCTCTGAGGGAGTGATATTTCAGCCAAGACCCAAAAGATGAGAAAGAGCTAGCTAGCCAGATATGAGAAGGGGGGAGGGGAACACACAACATACTGGGCAAGGGGCCTTGAGGGCTTGAGGAAGGGCATTTGCAAAGGATGAGGTAGTATTAGAGGCAGTTTGGAGATGGAACCATTAGGTCTTAACAACAGATATGGGTAAGGAAAGCTAATGGGAGAGTTGATGGTGATACTGAGGTTTGGAGCCAGGCTGAATCTGGGAGAATGGTGGGGTAATGCAAAGTAAGGAGGTCTGCCCGGCCGGCGTGGCTCAGGTTGAGCATCGACTTATGATCCAGGAGATCGCGGTTTGATTCCTGGTCAGGGCACATGCCCAGGTTGCCGGCTTGATTCCTGATCAATGACTCTCTCTCATCATTGATGTTTCTATCTCTCTCTCCCTCTCTCTTTCTCTTTCTAAAATGAATAAAATCACACTCAAAGTAAGGAAGTCTGGAAGCAGGGCCAGATATGGGGAGAAGGTGTTGGGTTTGTTTTTGGTCATGCTGAGTTTGTGGCCCTCATAGGCTCTAGAAACACTGGAATGTGGGTCTGAAGACTGAGAGGAGAAGAGGGGCAAAAGGAAGGGGACCTGGATGCTATCTCCTCAAAGACCCTACTCCATCCATGGTTCTTCCTGACCTGTCTTCTTCTCCTCTGGGAGCTGGGAAGGTGGAGGGTTAGCTGTAGTTCTGTTCCTTTGGGCCTGCCTATGTCTCTGTTGCTCCCAAGGAGGACATAGTTTGCTGTTCCTGGCTGCTTATCCTCTTACAAATCCCAACAGCCTATGGGACACATGTGCTGCCCTGTCATCTCTTCCCAGCTCCCATATCCCCTTGATGGGTTGGGTGTGGTATGGGCATGTGGGAGGACACTGCTGTCAGAGGAGCACTCAACCTCTGATGCTGTCACCCAAGGTGAATGTTGGAGACACAATCGCGATGCTGCCCAAGTCCCGGAGAGCCCTAACTATCCAGGAGATCGCTGCACTGGCCAGATCCTCCCTGCATGGTATGAACCCCCCTCCCATGCCTCTGGCCATTTGGTCCTTTCTTCTCCCTTTTGCACATGCCCTTGGGGATTGTATACTGTGAGCTTCTGTCTCCCATTTCCTCTCTTAGGTGAATCCCAGACCCCCTTTTCCCTCCAAAGGCACATGTGGATCCTTACTACTACCACCCTTCCACTTCCCTCCCAGATGCTCCCTGACCCATGCTCTTACCAGGGTTTCTGACTGTGCCCCATCTCTAGGTATTTCCCAGGTGGTGAAGGACCACGTGACAAAGCCCACCGCCATGGCCCAGGGCCGAGTGGCTCACCTTATTGAATGGAAGGGCTGGAGCAAGCCAAGTGACTCTCCTGCTGCCCTGGAATCAGCCTTTTCCTCCTATTCGGATCTCAGTGAGGGTGAACAAGAGGCTCGCTTTGCAGCAGGTGAGTGACAGAAAGGATCAGCCATACATTTGTGATAGGGATGTTCTCTCTCATCTCCTTGGGCCTAAGTGGGGTTTGGAGTCTTTCCACACCCCTGTGTCTTCCTCTCCTGTCTCCAAGCTGAGCCCTAATCTTAGCTCACCTCTTAATGAATTCCATGTCCTCCCCGACAGGAGTGGCTGAGCAGTTTGCCATTGCAGAAGCCAAGCTCCGGGCATGGTCTTCAGTGGATGGTGAGGACTCTACTGATGAATCCTATGATGAGGACTTTGCTGGAGGAACTGACTCAGGTGAGAGGATATTCCATGCTAGTGCTGCCAGCTGGGGTGGAACTGCCTGAGCTCAGCCTTTGGAAGAGGAGATCCAGAATGTCCTCACGCTTTGGAAGGAGAGTGGAGAGAGGCAGATTCTGTCCAGGCAATCCTTGATTTTCCATGGGCAGGAGGGCTGTCTACCCTCATGGGTGGACAGTCAGCAAGTGGAAATGGAGTAGTTCCTTTCCTACAGGTGCTGAGCCTTCTCTGCCTGTCTGTGCAGTTGGGCCGTGCAGTCCTCAAAAAAAAAACAAAACTTGGAGACCTCACCAGCACCTTCTGTGCAGTCATGTCTCTGGGAGGGTCTGCTGTGCCTTGCCTTGGAAAGTCCTCTCAAGGCAGCCTCCTGGCTGGCTGGCTGTGGTAGTGCACGTGCATAGTGCAGCAGCACAGCACCTCATGGGGCTGTGGCCCCAGGCAAACAGGAAGCTTGCTGGGCCTGGGCTACTCACAGGGCTGCTGGCTCCAGCTTGCATCCTTGCATTCCAGGCTAGGGGGCCTTTCTCTCCACCAGTGCTTGCAGAGGGGACCCTGCAGGGCTGTGCAGCTGTGCAAGGTCTTCCTTTCATCTTTCATTCTCCAGACCACATGGCTGACTTTCTCTGTAACTTCTGGGCTCAAGTTTCCCAGGCCACAATACCCCCCCCATCCCTTTGCCTTTGAAGATTGCCTCCACACAGCCCCATTCCTCTAGCTAATTAACAGATTCTCTGAAGCAGGCAATATATTAGAGCAGCTTGGAGACTGCTGCTGTCCAGAGAGGACTGATTGGGATGACCGAGACCAAGATAGACCTGAACCACAGTGTTTTTGTTTGATTGAGTTCCAGGCCTGCTTTGACTCCTGGTGTAATGATAATAAGTAACATTTATCCAAGGCCACTACTAGCCCATGTAGAATCACTGTGCAAATTTGAGAAAAGCACTCTTTTCGCTGGTGGGAACAGCCCCATGCCAGGGCGTGCTGCTTGATGAGCAGAGTGTGGGCTGAATTTCAGTTCATTCCCCTTGGGCAGTGAACAACCTGCATGACCATGTAGGATATCCCTGCATTTATTGCTTTCTTACTGTGTGCCAGACTGTTCTCTCAGCAACCCCATAAGTTAGGTATATTAGAATCCCCAATTCACCATTAAGGAAATTAAGGCAGAGAGGTTAAGTGACTTTCCTAAAGTTCCCCAGCTCCTACCCACCATCCCCAGAGCTGGACGAAGGTGGAATGGGGAGAATGTGGCTTCCAGGTTGGCCAATTGAGATGGGGCTAGCAGGGCTGTTTTCTTTTCTCTCCCTCAACAGACATGGCTGGGCAGCTGCCCCTGGGACCCCACCTTCAGGACCTCTTCACTGGCCACCGATTTTCCAGGCCTATGCGCCAGGGCTCTGTGGAGCCTGAGAGCGACTGCTCGCAGACCGTGTCCCCAGAGACCCTGTGCTCTAGTCTCTGCAGCCTGGAGGACGGGTTGCTGGGCTCCCCGGCCCACCTGGCCTCCCAGCTGCTGGGCGAAGAGCTGCTCCTTGCCAAACTGCCCCCTAGCCGGGAAAGTGCCTTCCGCAGTCTGGGCCCATTGGAGGCCCAGGACTCGCTCTACAACTCGCCCCTCACAGAGTCCTGCCTTTCCCCCGCCGAGGAGGAGCCAGCCCCCTGCGAGGACTGCCAGCCACTCTGCCCACCAGCGGTGGGCAGCTGGGAATGCCAGCTACAAGCCTCTGACGTGGCTTCTTCTGGGGTGGTGTCCTTAGACGAGGATGAGGTGGAGCCAGAGGAACAGTGATGCAAATCATGCCTGATGGTGGCATGTGTCCCCTGGCTGCTGGGGGCAGAGCCTCTGTGCCCAGTTGTGGGCTTGAGGCTTCCAGCAGAGCTCCAAAGCCTAGAGGGCTCCTGGGAGCACTCACTCCTCATTGTGTGTTTTGCATGAAAGTGTCTAGAGAGGAGGCAGGGGACCAGGCTGGGGGCGCATGTCCAGCCCCCACTCCTGGGGTTTGCCGGGGGTTGCCCGGGGCCCCTGGGGCATGGCTACAGCTGTGGCAGAGTGATGTTCATGTTCTTAAATCAAAAATGCCACACATTTCCTCCTCTGATGATGTGAACCCTTGAGGGGGCAGTTATGACTGGGCTGTGTGGGATAGAATGGGAGGGAGCCTGGCCTCTCCCTGCCCCTCCCCCTGCCTCTCTCCTCTCTGCTTCTCTCTTCACCTCCGAGTCTGAGTCCATGTGCAGTGCTTGATAGAATCACCCCCACCCAGGGAGCCTACAGAATGAGCTGTCCCCAGGGTCTTTCTCCCAGCTGGGCTCGTGCTGTGCTTCACCTCTCCATTGTCTCTAAATCTTTTTTTCTCAAGAAAGGGGTTTTGGTCTGTTCTTTCAGTCGGATCTTTGGGAGGCACTGGAATGATGAAAGCATTACCCACCACCCTTTTCCTGGCCACCCTGAAGGGGTCTGTGCCCTTTCCCAGTCCCTTGTAGGATGTGTGAGCAGGGGCCCAGTGGCTCCCAGACCACCAGGCTGCTTCATTCATTGAGATCTCTGTAGGGTGGAGTTGGAAGAGATGGCTCTGTTTGCTACAGAGCTGTGACTTTGATGTTCTTCCAGAGGGGGCCACCAGGGGGCCACGCGGGTGACCAGGCAGTTGCCTGCTGATGCCTGAGCAGGGCAAGAATTGTGCCAATGGGTGACAGTCATGAGGGATTGTCTCTCATTGGGGAGGAAAGAGGGTAGTGCCTTTCTTGGCTGAAGGACAGGCTAAAGCTACTGTACTGGGGGCAACCAGGGTGTTGATGGCCAAGCAGTGGAGGCCTCTGCAGATCCTACACTCCATGGACAGCAGGCTCTGGAGTTTTATGGCCATGGGGGTGTAGGTGGCTACAGATTTCAGGCCTTGTAGGCTTTGGCAGGTAATAGGGCCCAAGGTAAGAACACGAGCTGATGGGCACAGGCATTCTATATATAAGTGGCTCATTAGGTGTTTATTTTGTTCTATTTAAGAATTTGTTTTATTAAATTAATATAAAAATCTTTGTAAATCTCTATATACATCTGGTCATTGGAGGTTCCAGTATAAACCCATCTTAGTTCTACCCCTTTCCCCCTCAAAGGGGCAGCAGCGCTCAAGTGATCCCACTTCCATCTGCTAGGGCAGTGCTGATCTTCCTGCCCTTGGAATACTTGTTGCTAGTGGGTGCTGCTGGGTCAGACTCCAGGTAGGAGAAACTGGGAGAAGCTGGTACCCCTGGTCTGGAAGGGGGGCTAGGGCTCCAGCCTTTGGCTGTAGCTCTACCTCCTGCTTTCCCAAGGCAGAAGGAACAGGAGAGCTGTAGGATCCAGGCTGACAGCCCCGGCCACCGCCATCCCAGGCTGCCCATTGAGGAATTCACTGGCACTTGTCGTCACTGTCAGAAGGGCTGCCCTCCCCGGGGAGGCTGTGGTGGGAGCGGGGCCCCCAGAGTGCATGCACCTCAGTGGTCTCTGTGTCACTGCTGCTGGTGGCACTGTCACGGAAGCTGGCGAGGGGCGGCCGGACTTTCACGCCCTGTGCTGTGACAGAGCCTTCAATAGCCTTCCGGAGCTGGAAAGGTGAGAGGGTCAATCGGAGCTCCTTGCACATACTCCTCCCCAGCACTTCCCCCAGGTGAGCTGGACATAAGCATCCATGCCTTTTTGGAAGTGGAAGTGGCTTTGACAGCCATTATCATCTTACCTCCTTTAGAGTGACGATCCCAATGAGTCTGCCAATACTGGTGACATAAGCATGGTCCACTCCCAGCAGTGAGAAGATGGTGTGAGTCTGCAGGGTGGGCAGAAAAACATTGGATTTTATGCACAAGGAGAAAGGGGCCCAGGAAGAGATGTTGGGTTGGGGGTGGAATAGAAGGGGTGCCACAGGTGGTGGGGGGAGGGGGAAGGGCCAACAGAGGAAAAAGTATAATGAGAATGTACACCCACTCCTCAGAAACTTGATAGTGGGAATCTTTACGTTGATAGAAAAACGGACAGAGAAAGGATTCATCATCCCATATTAGAAAAGAGAATTGAGGAAGGAACAGCTGTTGAAATACAATACCTAATGATTGGCCAGGCACCCAGCTAAGTCTTACATTAGCATTTAATTTCAGCACTGTCCTGAGAAGTATGACACCCATTCTATGGGACAGGCAGCATGAGGCTCAGTGGTGGAGTGACTTGTTCAGGGTCATCAGTAAGAAGTGCCCCTGCAGCTCCAGGCCACTTTTCAGCACACTAGAAGAGGCACTGCCCTAGTTGTCCGATGCAGATGTCCAATTAGTTATGGATATATCCAGGAGGAAAGTTCCACACCTCCCTTAGGGGTACTGGCCCTGAATCCTGTTCCTCTTATCCCACCTGGGTGGCTGACACATGCTTCCCCTTTGCCCTCCACTGGATGAACATGTAAGGTATCCCTTCACCCTGGCTCTGACTCCTCAATCTTGGCCTGCAGCACTCTGTATCTCTCACACAGTTTGCCTTTTCTGGGGCCCAAAGCACCGCAGTCCTGTTGAGATGTAGCTTACAGTCCAAAGGACAACAGTCTCTCCAACCCCCCATGTTTTTCTTGCTTTGGGCCCTTCCCCCAAGCTTTCAAATGTAATCACCAAGAGTTCAGAAATTGTCAGCTAGTTCCCCTTGTGCTCCAAGTGGATTTTCTTGGGCCAGATGTCTTGAAAAAACACTCTACTGACTCAGCAGTTCCTGGAATTTTTGGCCTATCATTTATCACACTGTTTTCAGTTTACTTGTAAGCCTCTTGGTTTAATGCTTGAATCGAAATGGGCATTAATATCCCAGCTTCTTGAGTACCAGTTACTCAGAAGTAATTTTAATTGTCTTAACACTTTAAAAATGTTTTCTTATACAGCTGCTGAATTCTTTAGGAAAGAACTTCAGAACTTTCCTTTCTCCTAAGGCATGACAGTACTTATAAAAGGAGCTGGAAGTTGTTTTAGCATAAGCTTTTTTGTACTCCTTTAATACCTGTCATAACTGTCATGTGTTTAGCAAGTCCCTTGAATCCTACATGCTACACGTTATCTTTAATTTCCTCATCTGATTTCATAGGGAAACATATCTTTATGATAAGATTTCCTGCATTAATAATCCTTGGCCTTGTCTTATGCTTAGCAACCCATATCATCCTCTCTCAAGGATCCTATTAAATCATTCCTCTGAATTTTCTAATCTTCACAATCCTAATCAGAGTGAGCTTCTGGCAGGCTGTAAGCTTTTGGTTTTGCAAACCACTTGTCCTGGGGAGTCACCAAGCCTTACTGATCTACCTCGTGAATATCCTGGCCATTCTCCCTGACTCCCTCACCACCCTGACCAGGACAGGACTGTAACATCTTAACGGGCTCTGCTTTCTGCCTCCCTTCCATTCAACTTCGCTCTGCCATCCTATCAGCTTTCTCAAACTTGAGTTAGAGCCTGGACTCCCCAGAATGGCCCATGAGACCTTTTCCAAGCCCACCCCAGCCTGTCTTTTCCAGCCTCAGATTCCTCCAGGCACCCCAGCTTCCAGTCTCACATAATCACTCATCGTCTTCTGAAAACATCAATTTCTTGCACACTTCCTTCATTACACCATCTTTTAAAGTTCCCTGTTCGCCTCTAAGCTTAACTGGTAGTGATTTCTAAAATATATTGAATACTTACTATGTGCCAGGTACTATTCTAAGTGGTTCACATATATCAACTCCTTTGATCCTCAGAAAACCCTATGATGTTGTTACTAAGATCCTCATTTTACAAAGAAAACTGAAGCACAGAAAGGCTAAGAAATATGACAAGGTTACACAGCTAGCTAACAAGCGGCAGAGTGGAGATTTGGGTTCAGCCAGTCTGACCCAGTGTTGGCACTATAGCTTCCCCCACCTCCACTCGCTGCTTCCCTGTAGGTCCCTCTGAATGAATGAGGTACTTAGCTGATATGGTGATCTCCAGTTGCACAGGTTCCTAAATAGTCTCCACTGTATTCCTTTGCTCCTCTGAATGTTCAGCTCCTGAACTTAATTGGGCTACTACTTATTGACTCCTCAGGGTTGCAAGGACATTTTGAATTCTAATCTTTTATGTTCTTATCGCTTCCAGTTCTTTGTACTTTTGGTAGTCGGTTCCTCAAAGGCTTCTCTTCCTCTGATTTTAAGTTTGTAACAAACACCTACTTTGTTCTTTTTCATTTTAATTTAATTAGACACCAGGGAGCTCATTGGAGAGCCTGCATTTCTTGGGCTTGGGAACAGTGAGTTGATAGGGAGAGGGACAGTGTGGCCCTCTTAAAGAATACTGGAACTGGGGCCAGGAAATCTGGGCTCTAGGCCTGACTGCTATCCTGATTCAGGCAAGTGACCTCACTGCCTCAGTTTCCCCGTGTATTAAAATGGTTAAATCCACAGGCTTTTGGGTCAGACAATATTGGATGTGAGGCCTGGTTGTGCTACTTACTGTGTGACCTTGGTCAACTTGCTTAATTTCTTTGAATATCAATGTCCTTATCTATAAAAACGAATATCATACTATCTATTTTACAGTGTGGTTGTGAGGATTACATCAAACTTGTGAACAGCTTAGCCCAGTGCCTGGGACATAGCAGGCACTAATAAAATGTCAGCATCAGCATCGTCATCTTTATGTGATGTTTGAGGACTAAGTAAGATGATGGAAAAGCTTTAGAGGTCTTAGGAAGAAAGGCTTTAAATAAAAGCCAAATGTATTATTCTCAGGCCTATCTCCTTTTTTTCTTGTAACTGTACTGCAGTTCCCCACTCACTTTGATCCAAGGTCTTTACCCAAAGGCTTATAAGTTCCTTTAATACTTTTTTGCTTTTTTGTATCTCTCTTGTCCTCTGTCTTTCCTGCCCGGGGCCCCTGCTTGTCCACACTAAGCTGGCTTTTAGGCACAGCTTGCCTCTAAACTAGCTGTCCAAGCTGCAGACCTTGGGAGTGCTCTCCCACCGGCCCCTGCCCCCACTCCTCAGAAGTTTGCACATTAAATCTAACAATTTAGCTAAAATACCACTTGGTTTGTGCCCTAGCAGCCTGCTGGGTGTGTCTGTATTCCCTACCTTCACTTAGAAGCCTGACGGTGCCCAATGATGCCACTGCCTCATCCTGGGGAGCCCCTGTTCTCTAATGTCAGCCTCACCCACCACCAACCTCTCTGCACTCAAGTTTTCTCCCCACTCCTGGAGGCTGGTTTTGCCCTTCTGCTGAGCTATTTTCCTGTGTCCTTACCAGTTTTCCTTTGGCCTACATTAAGTGAGACTTTCTGGGGTCTGACATTCCAAGCCCCCCACTGGGTGTTTCTCATCTTTGTTTATCTCTTCTCTGCAGTGTCCCCACCCCTACTTGGATGTTTGTTAGCTTGTTTATTAGATTTTCTTATCCTGCCTGTTTCTCACCCATTTTTTTACAGCGTGGGTGTATCAGCCTTGTTGGGAGCTGGCAGCCTCCCTCCTAGCTCTGACCCTAGCCTGGCCTTCTGGCTTCTACCCAGCTTGAGCCCTGTCTTTGTTGTTGCTTTGGTCCAGAGTTCCCTAGGGACAAGGCTGAGAAGGGGAAAAATGATGCCTGATTCCACCACAGGCAGGAAGAGGCTAAGGGGACCTGGCTCCTGGCCGCCCCTTGTTTGAAAAACATTTCAGCATAGAGCCCACTCTCTGCTGTCCCTTTTCCCACCACTGGCATGAGTCCAAACTTGTGGGAGGACCTATATCCCCACCCTGTGCTCCTGAGAGCCCAGGCCAGCCCCAGGTTGCAGGCCCTACCTTGTGCAAAGAGGTCCGCTCTACCAGCTGGAAGGGAGCAGGGTCAATTTTGCAGTCGCTGAAGTTGACAGGTTCATCTAGTTGCTGCTCCTCCCACTCCAGAATCTGAGGGTATGAGACTAGGAGGGTTAGGGAGAAGGTGCTAACAGTGACCCTCACCTCCCTGAAAGCTGGCCTGCCCTTTTTCCTACCCCATGGTCCCTCCCATGGGGACAGAAGCCAAGATGATGACTGAACACATCCCG